GTAGGAGTTCTTCATTGTGGGAATGCAAAATGGTGTAGTCACTTTGAAAGACAGCAGATTCTAATTTCTTTTAAAAAATATTTTATTTTTACTTATGAGTATAAATGTGTGTATATGCCATCAGAGGCCAGAAGAAGGTATCAAATCCCCTAGAGCAGTAGTTCCAGGTAGTTGTAGACTGCCATGGAGACTGCCAAACATGGGTGCTGAGAATTAAATTTGGATTCTCTTCAAGAGGACTTCTCCATCTCCCCAGCTAGCACTTTCTTACAAAACCAAACATAATCTTACTATACTATCCAGTGACCACGATCCTTGAAATTTACACAAAAGAGTTGAAAATTGATGTTCACAATAACACCTGCAGATTTTTTAATTGCAGTTTTATTCATATTTGCCCATACCTGGAGGCAACCAAAATGGTCGTCAGGTAATGGATAAAGAAACTGTGATTTCATGATAATAGTAATAAACCAGTGATTAAAAAGAAGTGGACTTGGGTCTAGGGAGATGGGTCAGTGGTAAGAACAGTCGCTCAGCAAGCATGAGAGCCAGAGTTCAAATCTCCAGTGCCCACATATAGAGCCTGGTGAGGCTGTGTGCACACATGTAATCCCGACACTGTTGTGGGCATAAATAGAAGGATCTCTGGTGCTTAATAGCTGCCAGCCTCACTCCAGGTGTACTGACAGACCCCATCTCAAGGGAACTGGGCACCTAAAATCTTCCTCTGGCCTCTGTGTACTATGCGTGTGCATGCATATAACAATATAACACAGAGAGAGAGAGAGACAGAGAGAGAGGGAGAGAGAGATCTATGCTGTCATAAATAGAAACAGATAAAATATTGCTAAGTGAAAAGAAGTCAATTAGAAAAGTCCACATATTATATAACTGCAGCTCTGTGACATTCTGAAAACACAAAAGTATGAAGATGGAAAAATTATCAGCAGCTGCCAGGACTTTTGAGAGTATATAGGGAGAGAGAAGAGTCAATAGATTATTCCAGAAGACATAGCAATGGTGGGTTCATGTTAATATCCTTTGGTCTAATTCATGACAAATAGAAACAGTAAAGAGAGATGTAAACTGCTGACTTTAAAAGTGTTAATACAGCTTGAGGGACCCTGGAGGTCCCCAAAACAATAAAGGCCATTGCCAATAATATTGGTTGTACACCAGAAGTAGATGGAGGGACCCTATTGCTGAAGACACTGCTTGATGTGAGCCCAGGAGAGGGAGAAATCAAGCTTGGTCTAAGCTGGAAACTCCCTGCCACTGGATGGGTGGCTTTTGTGGTACCAAAAGGCGATATGCAGATGACTGGGGGAGAATCATCCCCTATAATTCTCAACGATGGACCCTGCATGTTGCACTATCAACATAACAAACAAGATGTTCCTGCTGGTGCAATAATGGAGCATCTAGTATATGTACAACTAGCAAATTTTCTATTGGATATAATGCCTGCTCCTAGGAGTGGAACATACATCTGGTACTGCAGACTAGACCAACCCCTTTTGGCAAGGGAGAATATAGGCCCCAGTGGGAAGCCACTGCAATTGTTTTGTTAGATGGGTGTGAAGCACCTGCTCAAATAACATTCAAGCATTTGTATTTACACCCATAGTTTAAGTTATTATAGCAGTACTATAATAGCAGTACTATAATAGCAGTACTATATAGCAGTACTATAGCAGTACAGTGTACTCCAACCACTATGCAGACAAGATATAGTCACACCTCCTTCCTGCTCATCAGGGAGTCGAGGAGGGAGTCAGTTACCCCTCCCACCCAATCAGTCATACTTAACTGCATGTGGGGAGGGGACTAAAGATATATAAGCTAAGAATGCCAGGAGGAACTTTTCTCACCATTTTATGTAGCTGTTGGGAAGTCACAGGATCTATATTAGCGTGTGGACTTTCCAGTGCAGCTGTAAATGGGTGGGGTTCCCACTCCTCTGTAAATAAACCCCCATCCTACGCTCTGTTAAAAAAAAAGAAAGAAAATGATAGGTGTTTGGATTGATAGATGAGAGGGATCTGACTGGACTACAAGTGGATGGACTTGCACCGGGGAATGTTTGGAGACACTGACTTGACACAGTGAGTCTTAATACCCAGGATGGAATATATGAGTGGGGGGCTCTATGGGAGGGGTCTGGTAGGGATGGGGCTATAATGATGATTCAGATTATTTGAGATACTCTGTATGAAACGCAAAAAATTTAATAAAAACAAATTTAAAAGAATAAAAGAAATAAAAATAAATAAATGTGTGTGTGTGTGTGTGTGTGTGTGTGTGTGTTAATACAGCCAGGCATGATAGTACATGCCTTTATTCCCAGCACTTGGGAGGAAAAGCAGGCAGATTTCTGTGAAACGGAGGCCAGCCTGGTCTACATAGTGAGTTCCAGGTCAGCTGGGGCTATGGGGAAATGCTGTCTCAAAAAAGAAACAAAAAAATTGTTAATACTGGTCTTAGTTGAACAATTGTGACAAATCTACCTGCTTTGGACTAAACCATGTCCCCAGAATTGAAACAAATTCCTGCTTTGAAGGGGTGGACTTTGAGAGCTAACTAGGTCATAACAGGACCCTTTGGATAGATTTACCACTCATAGGAAGGGGCACAAACATGTACCCCTTCTTTCCTTTTCTTCTCTTTTCACATGTGGAAAAGGTGGCCATCTGACAGCTGGAAAGAGTCCTCATCAGAAACTGAACTGATCTGCTCCTTTACTTTGGACTTCCCAGTCTCTAATTATGGAAATAAATCTCTGTTGTTGAACACTGCAAACCATGATATTTCTTTATAGTAGCCTCAGTAAGTTCATGGTACTGTAACAAATGTACCACAGATTGTATGCCTTACAAGAAACTAAAATCTCGGGGCTGGAGAGATGGCTCAGAGGTTAAGAACACTGAATATTCTTGCGGAAGACCTGGGTTTGAATCCCAGCACCCATATGGCAGATAATAACTGTCCATAACTCCAGTTCCAGGGGATCTGGTGCCCTCTGCTGACCTCTGTGGGCATTGCATGACACAGGTGCACTTACACACATGCAGGCAATACACACATACACATAAAATAAAAATAATAAATAAAATATTTTTAAAAAGAAAAAAACATGAACCAAAAGCTATTCCTAACTCTCAGCTGGAAGCCACAGACCAGGGTACCAATGTGGTCAGATTTTGGCAAAAATTCTGCAACTCATGATCGAAAGATAGCAAGGAAGCAAATTCTAATGTATACATACTAATCCCATTCATGAGAGCTCCACCTGGATGCCCCAATAACCTCCGAAGCCTCACTTCATTTTATATTTGAATTTCAATATATGATTTAACAAGATATTCAATATTCAGTCCATAACTCAGCCATGGTTAAGAGAGTATCACCTAATGTGAGATGTCACATCACTAGGCAGAACTGTGTTAGACTGATGAGAGGGTATCTGAGAACTCTCTGCTTCTACTCAGCCTCTCTATACACTAAAACTAATCTAAAACAAAGCCTATTTTTATTTCTTTTTGAGGGGAAAGGGTTCATTTTATCTTACATCTCCTGGGTCACAGTTCATCACAGAGAAACACCAAGGTAGGAACTCAGGGCAGGAACCTGGAGCACAGACCTGGAGGACAGCTGCTTATTGACTTGCTCCTTTGGCCTATATTCACCTGGTTTCTTATACAATGCACTGGGGATGGCACTGCCCACAGTGAGCTGGGTCCTCCCACATCACTCAACAATCAATAAAATGCCCCTATTTTTAATAAAAAGGAAGCTGGTAAAGACAAACTAATACGTTATTAATAAAATAGGGTTTGTATGCAATACTGACTGAAGATATACATATGGGATATTTGAAAAATAATGTTTTCACAGAATCTCATGTATGTGTTCAAATAAATTGCACTAATCACTTGCTTAATCTTTGGAGCTTTACAGAGATACGTAATAAAATAGTAGAAATTACTCCTCAGTGTACTTGCCGGTTGTATATGGTATGAATCAGAATGAAGCTTCAAAGCTAAAATATACTCATCTGTAAAGTCACATGGAGAAAACACTATCATTACGTTACTTTGTTTCTAAACAGGTCATCTTTTGTGATCTCAGGAAAACAGACACTAAGGATTATGATTAAAGCCAGAGATGATCGTTATGGTATTTGGTGATTTAAACATTATTGAAAGACATCTAACTGTGTGTGGTACGGGAAGGGTGAACATACCAACATTCCCATTCAAGACAGCATGGTAGAAAATTAAATTCACTTTCAAAATATTTCTGTAAGCTTACATTATGATATCTTAGAATACAATTTACAAGAATGCAATTATATGATTTTGAGATATAAACTGTTGCTGTTAAGAGTTCATTCCTTGTACAGGTAGGTAATTCTAATTATCACTCATGAAAATTTCCATTTTTAATCAAGAAATACAAAAAACTGAAACAGACTTGGATTATAAACAGACTTGATACTATAACTAATATAAAACCACATACAACTTTACATCTACTATGATAGTTACAAAAGTCCTCTATATTAGTTGATGTTGGGATAAAATGTAGAAATAAAAGATTTAGCTTTTGTAACATGGCAAGTGTGGGCAGGGGCAAGATGGTTGAATGTGTAAAGCAGTTGCTGCCAGGCCTGAGAGCCTGAGATAGATCCTTGGGATCCACACGGCTGGAAGGAGAGAACTGACTCCTGAGAATTTTCTGACCTCCACAGGCATGAGTATGTGAGCACCCACTCTAACACACACAGATCGATAAAAGTAATTTTTTAAAAAGTATTTAAGACACGGGCTGCCTTACCTATGAGCTGTCTAAAATTTCTAATTGAAATTTAAAATTTATTAAATGAAACTTCTAAGAGCCCAAATTACAAGCTTGATTACTATTTCCTCTTCGCAGAAAAAATCACAAAAAGTAAAATACTTCAGGTGAAGGAAAAGCAAGCACAGAAGACATCCTACCTTAAAAGGGCGTTTCTTCCATCGCTTCTTGTGCACCACACCTGCCTGGTTTGAAAACCTATCTCCACATCTCTTGGTTGGGAATGGTGATGCGCTTTGTAGCTTTGATGTCTAAGGGTCACTTGCTCATTTGAATCAGAGCTAAAATCCTGAAGTGTTCTTTCACTGAGGTTGATTTCTTTAAGGTGAGGGAGTCTACATTTGCTCCATGGTCCCACTTTAAGGCTGAATGAATATTCCTCTTTCCCAAGAGGACAGGAAACCGGAGCCTCGCAGGCCCTTGACTCTGTAAGATTAGGACACTGGAGACCTCCATAGAGAGGGGGCGCGATGGCCACGCGAGTTCTGTACTGCAACGTCTTCCCACATCCTTTGCTACACTTGGACCACGGGGAGAACTCAGATACAACACAATCCCGGGGACACGGGATGAGGCAGGCCTGCTCTGTCGGGGGCTGTGGGGCAAAGTTTTCGCAGATCTCACTGGCCACCATGGTTCTGTTGAACTTCTGCAAACAGCGCACAGTCCGGTGCTGCAGGCCGTGCTGGGCGGTCATGCACTCTGCACCTCGAGGCCTGGCCTCTCCCTGGACCTCAGGAACCAGCAGGCAGCGGTGCCAGTCGGAAACTTCCCACTGGAACAGGTCGCTGTGCCAGTCACAGACTCGAAAACAGCTTCTTTCCTTCGGAGGTCGACTGCTCTCATCACAGTCAGACAAGGGACTGGTCCACCCTTCCATGTGAAAGCACCATACCGCTCGACTCTGGGTTCCTCCCGTCCCGCAGTCACCTCCACACCTTCCCCAGGGACCTGAGACAGAAAAACAAGGCTGTCCATGACTCTGAGATGGCATTCTGCAGCTCTCATGGAAAGAGGTCTGTCTGCATATTTCACAACACAACCGTTACAAAATCACAAATCTGATGTGAAATGGAGACAATATCACTTACAGATGAAGACTGTGGGCTCTGTCTGTTTGGGCTTAAGGAAATATCTCTTGCCACCTCTGATCAGCAATGTAAACCAGTAAGAATTAACTCTTATTTCCTTACCTACATAAGGTGGAAGATAGTAAAAGCACTGATTTGAAGAGGCATTCTGAGGACACTGAAACAATGTGCTGGGGAGGAGACAAAACCACCTTTGAATGAAGGGTACCATCCCTGATGAGTTGTCCCTAAGCCTGTGTATCTAACTCAATATTAATAACCTCTAGTTAGGAAGCTTCTCATCTGAAAGAAAAGCCCTAAAGGCAGGACTTTCATGAAGTAGAAGTCTTCAACCTAGTCCTTCAGGTCATACTTTAGGAAAATCAGAAGAGAATCTGTTTTTAAAAACTTGAAGCATAGACATAAGGAAGTAGGTAAGAAGCTCTAACCCCACCTAAGGACACGGTGCCAACAGATGGCTGCGGGAGGGGCAGAGAAAGCATGAGACTCTTGGTAGGTTAACCAAGCTCCAGTGGATGGATCTGTGCTGAAGGACATTTGGGGACACGAAGTAGACTCTATAGGCCTTAAAATATATAAAATAGACTCATTAAATTGAGTAGGAGGCAAAAAGGGGAGGTGGGAATGGGGCATCTAAATACCATCAAAAAAGAACCTTGAAATATTCTAAATACAGTTTATTTAATAAATAATGATCCTGGGTTAGTTTTGCTTGCAGTGAATTGTAGGAAGGAAAAAAAATGATACAGCAACAAAACTAAGGTATTAAGGCTTGAGAAATGGCTCAGCAGTTATGAGTACTGTCTGCTCTTTCAGAGGACCTGGGTTTGTTTCCCAGCACCCACAGGACAGCTAAGGACAATCAGAAACTCCAGTTCAGGTGATTCAACTCTTCTGGCCTCTGAAGGCATTGGGCACATGTGGTGCACTTACATACTTTCAGGCAAAACATTCATACACATAAAATAAAAGTAAATTTAAAAAAATTTAAGTAAGGTAGTAGAAGATGATTGAATTGCCTACAGAAATTCTGTAGCCAGAAATAAACTCTTTTCTGTGAGTTCGTTGTTTTTGTTTGAAACTGGTCCATTGTGCCCAACTGGTTTTGATGTCTGATAGGTACAAATTCAGTGTAATATTTCCAATGTTAGCTTATAATACACCAGATAGTCACATTACTTTCAGTGGGAAAGAGTCCAAGCAACAGACAGAAAAAAGAACTGCCTGTTGGTCTATTACAGTTTTTGCATCTCATCTACTGATCTATCAGTTGGTGTTAGCAAGAAGATTGTGTGCATGTGTGTGTGTGTGTGTGTGTGTGTGTGTGCAATGTGTGTGCAGATGTATATGTGGAGGCCAGAGGATAGCCCTGGCTGTTGTTTCTCAAGTGCAGACCACATCTGTGGGGAGGAGGAGGGGTTCCCTCACAGCTCTGGAGCTCAACAAGCAGCCTAGTGTGTCTGGCAAGTGAGCCTAGGGATCTGCAGGTGTCTGCTTCCCCAGTGCTAGGATTTCAAGCACATGCCACGAGGCTAAATTTTAAGTTTAGGTTCTCATGCATGGAGGATAGGCACTTACTGAGTCTTCTCCTTGTCCCTGATCTACATGTTTCACCAGGACAGAAGACAACCAAATTTTGTGTTGATGGAAAAAACCACTTTCCTCTTTTCACTTCTCTAAAATTTGAAACCTGAATCTGAAAATGTTCAATAAGGTGAAGCGTATAACCTACAGTCAGTTCCAAGACTCTAAAGGCCAAAAAGGCACTTTGCATCCTAAGAAGCATATTAACACCAGCTGAGAAAGAAGACATATTTTCCCTTTCCCTAAGTCTGACTGGCCACCCAAAAGTACTTCATGGGATAGATTTACACACCAATCAATTATTTTAGGAACAGTAGGAATGCACATATGGCATGAACTGAGGGGCTGACATCACCTGTACTCCCATGCTGTGATGGAGCTTCACATTTTAGTAGGAAAACAATCTAGTTCTAATGGTCATCACAATCCCAGTTCCTCTTCAAATCCATATTCTGACCATATCAACCTGGCATTCATGCCAACACTGCATCAAGCTACAGTGCCAACTCTTCCTAATTTGTAAGAGAGATCCTCATGGAAAACATCCTCACTTTCTTCCCCAATTAAGGATTTTTCTTGCTGAAGCAAAAGGGTAGGTTTCATTTCAGTAAGCCAGCTCTTACTCAGCTCTTACTCTGCAATATCCCCTTGAGTCTGCCTACTCCCATCTTGTTGCCCCAGCATCAGCTGGAATGACCATGGTAAAATGACCACACAGGAAAAGTGATGCTCTCAAAACTAACTGACTTAATGAATTGCTTTTAATCCTGCAAATTGAGATACTTGTTAGTTGAATGTTACCTGTAGGCTCTGTAACATAGGTGCTGTAAATCAGTTTCAGTTTAACTATTCTATCCATTTTTTATTGTGTTAGAGATTTCATATTTAAAAAGATCCATTCAATAAAGGAATATTTCAAAAACAAAATAATGGTGAACTTTAAATATAAAATCAATTTTAAGCAATATGAAAAATATTGAATATAATAAACGACAACATTTTGTAAAATACCATGAGATTTAAAATAGTGCTGTGAGTGCCACTTTATTTGTTTAAGAATTAAATACATAGAATACTCCACTCAAGATTTTTAGTGTGAATTAAAGAGATAAAAAAGTTAATCTCTTTCTAGTCAATCTTGAAAAAATTTCTTTCAATTAGAACATCCTAGTAAATACTCCTGTTCTTCTCTCTAAAGAATTTGACATTTTATTATCATTATATTACTTTCACATTAGAAATTCTTTAGTTACTTTCAAACAGTTAAGTAGCTCATTTTTTTATATTTGAAATCATTATATCTTAAATCTTATAAGTGGCTATTGCTGGGTTAGTTTCACATCCTCCATCTATATGAAATGTTACCTAACAGCACTGTCTTCTTAGATCAAAGAAAGACAAAATGTAGGTATTAAGAAATTAACTCACTACACTTACATATCTGTTTCAATTCCTAGTGCTGATTTGCTCATTAATATTCCTTTGATATGAGTAGAAGCAGTAATGAAAGTGGTAGGTATGGAGAGTCCTCCTTGGCTGTGAAGTGTGAACATTTGTAAACATTGGACAGTTGGTTTAGGAAGGCAGAGGTCAATCAAGAAAAGCTCCTTGTGTTAAAGTAAATTTTGAAGACAGCAGGAAAACAAGTAAATAAACAAATTCAAAGGGAATTGTGCATGCTTAGGATAAATGAAAACAAATTGCACACAAAACACAGGAGATGGAGATGAGCCCTGGAGCAACTGACCTGTAGTTATTTGCATTTCTTGGATATGGAAGAAAATTTACTACATGATTTAGTCAGCTTTATTTAGCAATTAACTTTCAGTACATACATGAGTGGATATCACACAGCTCTTATGGGTTTTGCTGTTAAAATAAACATGTATGCTCAAATAAAGTGTACCTGAAGTTTGAGAAACATTACAGCCTTTGTCTTAGTTCAGAAACAGAAGAAAAGCTTAAAAGATGAGCAGCAACAGGAAGAAAGAAAAATACCAAGCTTTATCACATGCAAAAATCGTAATTATATTACATATCTAAATAAACATGTAAAAAACAATGTAAGACATTCCTTTTTAAAACATCAGTTTTAAATTTTTTGTTTTAATTAGAAAAGAGCTTTCAAGTAATAAAAAATTAAAAGATACAAAGTTTAGTTATTAAGACAATATTTATCTAAACTAATATTTCTGCTACACTGCATTCTAGAAAAATAGTTCAGGGATAAACAACAGGAGCCATGGTTTTGAGCAGTTAGCATGTTTATTTGGGTCAGTTTTAGTAAGGCAGTGGTCAGCCTGACCCTTCCTTTTCTGAGTCAGAAACAGTTACTACTGAACAAACTGCTAGACATTTCTTTTAAAACACATTTTTAATTTATTCCTTGAGAATTTCATACATGTATACAATGTATTTTGACCAAATCTATACACCACTCCCACCTTCCAACTCCTCTGAGACTCTCACACATACCTTGTCCCACCTCATGTCCTTCTGTATAACTTACTGAGTATAATAAGTGCTGTCTATATGCTCATGAGTGTGGGATCATCCCTTGGAGCTTGGGCAACCTACCAGTGGCCACACCCTGGAGAGAATAACTCTCCTACTTCCTGATGCCATCAACTGCCACTAGATCCTTGACTAGGGGTGGGGTTTCATGAGCTCCTCTCCCATTTGTACTGGAATGGTGGTTGACTTCATCTTCTACAGGTATTGTGCAGGAAACTACCGATGCTGTGAGATCAGGAGGGTAATAGGCCTGTGTTGTCCTGAAGATGCTGTTCCGTGGCAGTCCTCTCCAACCTCTGGCTCTTACAATCCCTCTTCTCCCTCTTCTACAGTGGTCCCTCAGCATTAAGGGGAGGCAGTGTGATACAGAGTTGGCATTTAGGGCTGAGCCCTCCACTGTCACTTGTTCTCTGCACTTTGACCAACTGCTAGGCATTTTAAAATCATTTCAGTTTTAATCAACAAGTTGAAATTCTGGTTCCAGGACAGTTCTTTGAATATGGAAGAGGGTTAACCTGATAAACTCTCAGGTCACTTTCAAATTTTTGATGTTTTGCCTGTGCTTTGGCTGGTGCTACAGTTATATGTGTGCTATAATGTAATATTCTTCTACAGGTAGAAAAGGGCTGGCAGATTTTATTCTCTTAATTAAGTTACTCTTAATTGGATTAGTTTAGATGAATGAATAACCCAATCTAAATTACTATTTTTGAGACAGATTGCTGTAGGCCTGAATTCACGTGTGGCATCTGCTAAAATCTCTGTTACACTGGAACAAAAAAACGGGACTCTAGAGGTCAAAGAA